TATCGCTGGGCCCCAGAGAGAGGAGATCAGCACCTTCCCCTCCGCTGCCCCCTTGAGGAAGTTGTAGACTGCGATGAGGTCACCCCTCAGCCTTCTCTTCTCCAAGCTGAAAAAACTAAGTGACCTCAGCCACTCCTCGTAATCTTGTCCTCAAGACCTTTCACCATCTTGGTCGCCCTCCTCTGGACACGCTCTAATAGTTTGATGTCCTTCTTATATTGAGGCGCCCAAAGCTGCACACAGTACTCAAGGTGGGGCTGCACCAGTGCAGTGCTTGATGCACCCCAGGACATGGTTGGCCCTTTTTGCTGCCAGGGCACACTGTTGACTCATATTCAACTTGCCATCAACCCAAACCCCCAGATCTCTTTCCACAGGGCTGCTCTCCAGTCTCTCATCCCCCAGTTTGTATGTATAACCAGGGTTACCCTGTCCCAGGTGCAGAATCTGACACTTGCTCATGTTAAATTTCATACAGTTGGTGATTGCCCAGCTCTCTAGGCTATCCAGATGACTTTTGTTGTTTCTAACAAAATAGACATGCTGAGCTCTAGGAACCGTGCTCCCCGATGTCTTTAAGGTTTCATAATTACACTGAAATGGAATTTAGTTTAATCAGTAATCAATAAAGAATGGAGGCAGACTTACCGAAACGACTAACACTATCTACTCCATTAATGATTGGATTATAATCCGGATTATCTTCTAGTCCAATCTGTTAAAAAGAAATTGCATTTTTTAACAGTACAGGCTTCATGAAAAAAAATTGAAAGTTGCAGTTTACCACCAAAATTATAGATGACTTAAAGCAGTGCGAACGTATTTTGCTCATTTGCTTTTCTGTAAGAATAAATTAGAAAGATACATGCAAATTTTTAACTCAGTGATCACACACTGGAACCAGTTAAATTCAGTTTGAGCATCTGCCATGTTTCAGAATTTGTTTAATGACACAAAGATATACTTTGTTTACCTCAAACAAAATTGATAAAGCTCTTAACTTTCCATTTCCTTTAATTGCCTCTTCGAAATTTGTAAATTGATCTGCATCATAGCAGTAGATTTGCATCTGCAAATAAAAATACATTCAAATGTTATATATACAAAAAATTAAAAAAAAATTAATCAATGCAGTTATTTATATTCCCATTTTGAGAAAAAATGTCCAAGCAATAAATTTAATTACAAATATATGGATTTCTTATCTATCTCACATGCATTATCTGAAGATATAGAATGGAATTCATCAGCTGTTAGCTATCTGAAAACGACCTCTTCTGGAAAACCACTAAGTATGCAGGAGTTATCCTTTCAAGGAGCACAACAATAAGCCAGATAACTTGCTAACCTAGAGTACCTAGAGTATGGAATGACGCCTTTCTCTGCCCTTCTAAAATACATCATTTAAATATTATTAATTTGGATTTAAATGAATTATTATATTTGCAAATAGACTTTAATCAAGAGATCAACAAAGGTATTTAGTAAACAGTGTTACTTTTTGCAGAATGTCAAATCATCAAAATAATCAAAATCTATTCTGTACTTTACCTCAAGAGGAAATTTTTGTCCTTCTAAACTATGTTCTGATCCATCTGATGACACATTGCATTTTCCCCAGTGAAAAGTGATCTTGCTTGCTTTGAATACGGTGTCTAACCCACCTCCACTTACATAATAATCATTTGTCAGGTTAATTTCCACTGAACAAAGAGAGAGAGAGAGGGAGAAAAAAGGAGTGTCAATATAAATGCCAGCCAAGGCATCTATGACTCTCATATTTCGGTATTAGGTGCTAAAAGGTAAATATGATATGCTTATTTCCCTGTATTTCATAAGTAATTTGACAGGTAATTGGTTATTTAAACTAAGTAAGAAGTGTGGTAATTCACTATTAGCATGGAGAAATACATTTCATTTCATGCTGCAATTCATAAAATAGTCATTAATGAAGTGCACTATTATACTGGTCTCCTGTTGTCTGAAACTAGCCACAGAACTACGCTAAAAAGCTCAGAAAACTGGCTTAGCCACCAATCTGACTGTCTAAGAAAAGAAATTCCTGAAATACATAGCTTCCTGAAAGCACCTGTGTTTTTAACAAAAAGGAAAATACACTCCCCCCCCGCCATTATTATCATGATTCTAGATACAAATCATGAGGGAACACAAGAAAAGAACATTTTAGCCAGTTCCTAGGAGGACTGTCCTGTCTGTAAGACCCCTTAGCTGTGGAGCAGTCTCCCATGGGAGAAGGTGATGTCAGGTTTTCAGCTGGACATAGCTGTACACAAACTGTAGACGGGACTGAGCACTTGTCTTCTGGAGGGAATGAGCAGGGTGGAATAGTCTGAAGCCCCACATTTGGCTTTCCCACCTCCAGTGATTGTGAATTGTTTGACCTCTTACTAAAACAGCACTAATGGAGTTCAGTTTCATTACAATCCTTCCCTCAAAACTTTGAAGACAATTTTAAGTGCAGAGCTTAGCAGTTCCTTTTATAATATCTGAATTGCTGCAGATGAGGAAGGGCTCAGTTCACTTTTATGGACTTTAAAGAATGTTTCCTCAGGGATCTCTTGAAAGACAAATGCACTATTTATCTCAGCTAGTAGGGCAAGAGGGAACTAAGTGATTTGTGGAATAGTATGTAGGAAGTACATGATGGGGCCAAGAACAGAAATTAGGAAGAATGACACTAAAATAAAATAAAATAAAATAAAATGGTTGGTCTAGGGGTCCCACTGGAACTGATAGAAGATCAAAGACAGTGAAGAGATTCCTTCCTTCATACCTATGCCTGAAACAAGAAACAGTAGTTTCAACAAGCAGCTTTTAGTTACTGCTATCCTGGATTTGTAAGTGGTTGCAAAAAAAAACTTGTCTGACAATGTAAATGCCACCATAAGCTTCTTTTATAGCTGGGAGAAATAGGCACTTGTAGGCATAAACCACTTCTTTCTAAAATACATTTCTAAGACAGGTAAGACAAATAGGACCATAAAAGCACCTGTTTCTCTTCTTTGACTGTAAGAAGTCATCTAAGTGAGTAGTTCAGATGCAAGTGTCTATGTGTAGGTGAGATGAATCCCATCCTGAGTTTTTTGAAACCACAATTCATCCATGAAGTGCTTCCAGATGAGTAGGTAATTTATTCATACTTTTAAAAAATCATTTTTATATACTTGTTACAGATTCTAGATATGTAGCAATAATTATCATTATTTCATAACAAATGCTAAATTACTGTTTAGCTTCAATGAGATGCTCATGATGGGATGACAGTAATGATGTGATTGCTTTGGCTCTATCTGTCTGTGCACATAATTTTCACTTGTGTGATTTCTCTATTAAGCCTGGCTACTGTCATCACCTGTTTTTTTTTATTTAATGGATAAATTCAGAATGCACCAGCTAAGGAAAAGTGAAACGAAAATGTTTCATTACAAGTCCTTGGTTGATTGTCCAACCTATATCACTTTTTTGACCTCATTTAACTCCAAACATGAAATATGACTTTTTACCTGTTTTGCCAGTGTTGCGAATGAAAGTATCTTCCAAAGTTGTCTTTTCCCATCCATGGAATTTAAGTTTCTTCAGATTCACATTTACTTGGGTAAGATCTTCATCTATATTAATAGGAGACTGTTTGGCACCATTGCAGGCTGAATATTTCTTTCCCCAGTTCTTTTGGTTCAAAGTTCCTAGAAATCAAAACATTTGGGGTAAATACATTTAAAAGCTAAACTGGCACCCATATATTTTTTAATGTGGGAAAGTTAAAACACAGTTTGCAATCTGTGATCAGAGTACCTGCCCTTCTTTTAGGCCTCATCTGTAGCAATACTTAGCACACCTACCATTCCATCAGTTCAACAGTTACGTCAACTTTTGACCATTTTAAACATCATAGATATATGCTTATGAATCTCTAGGGAAAGCAGAAAACAACAAAAAAACCCTCACACACAATATACAGAAATAATAAATAAAACAGGGGAAAAAAAAAAGCTTTCAGGTGAAAGAAACTGGCATTCAAAAAAACTTGGGAATTACTGCAAAACCCTCCTTTCCAAATAACTCTTTTAATCATACGAATGTCATTAACATTCCTTCTGCCCAATGAAGTCAGCCATCCAATAAGATTTTTAAATAAATAAAAGCAGTAAGATCTTTTAAAAAATCCTTACACAGAGGGAAAAAGGTAAAGTGATTCTACCCTGAAAAAGTAAAAAGGTTAGTGATGCTCTGGCCGGAGAGCCTGGCTGCACGGCCTGGCTTTGCCCGTGGAGGGCCGTGCGCGCACACTCCAGCCATCTCCCTTTGCAGCTGCTGAGCGAGAGCGGCCAGGAGGTCCTGCGCTGCAGCTGGGCACCTTCTCCAGGGCACGGGGGCTGCATGGCATTTCACTGTGGCCAGTTCAGACCCAGACAACATGGACACAGATAGCATGTCCTTCACCAAAGACTTGATTATTTTCCATAAGAAATGCTCAAGTACTCTACAGATCAGTGTGAGGGGCTAGCAGCTGCTCTGAGAATCTTACTTATATAACATAGTAATATAAATAATACAGTATTTTTTGTTTATATAATATAGTAATACAAATAATACAATATTTTGTGTATGTTTATGTGTTTGCATACATATAAATATTTTCTCCTGACAGGGAATTCTGGTAACACTTCAAAGGGCTAATTAAAACCAAGAGTTGACTGCACAGACCTAAGAAAATGTAATTGCTTCAGCTAGCTTCCCACTTACTAGTAGTTAAGAGCTAATATTAGTGCATCCAATGCACACATTCGAATTCTATTAGACATGTTGAAATGAGCCAGTGCTCATTTACAAGCCGCTGCGCTACATCCAAGTCTGTCAGTGGAAAATTTGCTGTATGGTACCCCAGGCAAGGACAGCCCTCATATTGCACTCAGAAAACTCAGAGAGGGGAGAAGAGATGCAGCCAGTCCTGTAACCGTGACAACAGGCAGTAATATGAGATGCTCACCTGGATAGCTAACTACCTAGAAACAAACCTGAGCTAAATTATTCAACAAGTATCAAGTCAAGTGAGTTACCAATATCACCTTGCCGCATCAGAATTACTGGAGGTCAGATGGTATACAAACCCATTTACTTCTTGCAAAGAGCAACAGAAGAAACTGTTAGGCACAACAGCCAAGCAAACCAAAATGAGTTTAAGTCACAAGGTTATAAATCTGAATATCCTGCAGGTGGGGACTAGAGCCCTGTACCGAGCAAGCAGTGGTCTGCTTGGGAATGGCACAAGGGGTAAGAGTCCAGCTCCTCCTCAAGTCACACTTGTCCTGGACATCAGCTGTCAGTTATAGCTTATCACCTGGGCAAATAATGCAATATCCTGATTTCTAATGTGCTTTTCATAAGAAAAGAATGGCTAATATTTCACCTTCTCTCTCAAAAGCCTCTCTTAAGAAATTCTGAGCCCAAGTCAACCAAAACTTGGAGATTAATCTGCTCAGATCTTCTATAGTGAATTTTCTAACTAATATTGAAGGCTTTTAAAACCAAGAAAGCCAATTTTATTTAAATATAAATTAGAATCATTAACTTTTAAACAGAAGAGCCTCCAAACAGGGTCAGACAGGACAGAAATAACAATTCTCGGCTTGCCCTGTGCATCCTTGCAGATAGGCCCTTGTTTCCAGGTCTGCTTTCAGCCAGCTCGGTGATTTTCCAAGCTGCAGCAAACTCTTTAGAGCCCTCCCTGACTCTTTGAAAGTCTCTGCCAGTTTGGGCCGGGCTGGCTGCCCACGGCCGTCCCTTGGAGTTAGGCTGCGCTCCCTGCTCCATGCTCTGTTTCTTTTGCTCCTTCCTTTTGCCAGAGCCCAAGACTTCCAGGCTCCTGCTGTTGCCCCAAGGCAGTAGAAATCTCTTTTCTCTTTCCACTGACATACCCACCCCCATTGCTCACCTGCAGTCTCGCCTTCAGAACATCACCATGAATCTTTTCCCAACACGCATTTCCCTCATTCTGCTCTTTCCACCACATTAGAAATTACTGAAACTACTACTCTTTTCTCCCTCCCACCAGTGTGCTTTTGGGTACTTCCATAAAGAACTTTATTGTTTACACCTTACTGAAATCTTACAGCATCTATGAATCTTCATGCCCCAAAGAAAGTTTTAAAACAGTGATTTTCATGTAATTACATATTGCCATACACTCACCAATAGTCATGGTAAGAAGCTGATCTATCTATATTATGTATGAAAAAGATGCAAATACTGTTTCAGCTACTCTCTGGTTGACAAAAAGAAAAATATCTATCCAATCTGTATGAATGCTAGCTTGAAATCCACCAAGGATAAATGAAAAGTATTCCATGGTTGCAGAGGACAAGAGATAAGACTTCCAGCTACGCCAAATTAACTGAATGCTCCAAATCAATGCTCCTGCTGGCAAATCTGAACAGGTATCTGACAACTTTTAATCAGGTTTCTTCTTTGCGGTCCAGCAGCTGGTGTCGCTGAAAAAGCTACATAAGCAAAGGACACCATTATTGCTTACAATTGCAGAAGTACAAGTGATCTCAGCACTGAGAAACACAGGCAATGTGGAAGCTCTCTTTGTAAGGTAAAACTGATATTGAGCTCAGCAATGAGGAACAAGATCTGTGTACATTTTGCATGTTAAGAGGAAAATCACACCTGCCTAACTACTGAGAAGTTGTAGCAGTGATCAAAAGCTATGGAACGAAATGTACAGGAAATCAACGGCAGGCTCCGGTCTGGGGCAGGAACATGGGGAATTCCAGAAGGAACTGGAATGATGATCCAAACTATATCTGAGCAGCAAAATACATGTTTATGCATAAATCCTGCAAATGTTGGAGCATATAATGGTTGTGTCTACATTAGCAAGTAGTGCAGACCAATACGAGTGGATTTATAGAGTGAAACAGTTGGGGTTGAGGACCAGATGTTCATACCATGTGTCTTTCAGAAGGCTCTGTCTGTTCACCTAGCTCTGTCTGGTCCCATGGGCTGAATGCCCATCAGCTGCTGAAGTGTATTAGGTATGCATTAGGTGTGCATCAGGTATGCATTAGGTATGCATTAGAAATGATTTAGGTATGTTTCTGCCACACATCTCCTGTTTAATATCATGTCACACTCTGTGAGACAACTCTACCTTGTGAACCAAAGCATGGCAAGTGGGGAGCAGCCAGGAGGTTTGCTTCAGAAGTCCATTCCCGATCTGAACTAAAGCATTAACATAAATGCAGCCAGCGTAGGCAGCAGGTGGTGAAACTGCTGCAGTTTACATGACTTGCAGAAAGCCAAAGTAAAAGCGAAAGAACCAAATGTTTTTAAACAAGAGCAGATTGTTTTACTGTAGGTGTTATGATGGAAATCATAAATCAAAGCAGTGCCAGCCATTTTGAAAAATATTGTTGAAACTGAGCTTTGAAAATGAATTCTCCCAAACTGTGCTTTTGGAAATCTGAGAATAAAAATCTGCATGATATATCTTGAAGAGTGCACAGAGGAAGCAATGTTTGTCAAAGCTGTCAGCTCTGAAGAAGTAACTCACAATTCACAATGAATGAAAATGAGCCTGAACACAGCAGATTACAAGATAATGGAAGACTGCCTATACCATAACCTTTACCACTCTCGCCCAGGGCAGAACGTCCAAAGAAAATTTTCCTATCCTTTCTTTCTAGGAAATGTTCATACCTAACTCTGCTCCTCATCCTTAGCCCCAGTGCTCCCATCCCTGCAAAAAGCATCCAATTCTCCTTTTGTCCTCCACTTCTATCTGCTGCTGTCTTCAGAAGATCTGGCCTACAAAGTGTTACTGCACTTCTGTCTTTTGTAAAAATACTTGAAAGAAAAGCATCTGTCAAACAACTCTCTGTGTGTCGGTATCCTATGCAAGCGGAAAGAGCGAGCAGGGCTGAAGACAAGCTGTGAAACTGGGTGGGCTGTGGTCCTCCCAGCAACTTGCCAGGAGAGGGGTTTCTCAGCGTGCTCACACACTACTATGTGCGTGTCTGCTGGGCTGTAAACCTTCACTATGAGTACTGCTGTTTACCACCGTGTATCAGTACTGGCTGAATGTAATATACAATTTATGAAAAATGGAAAATATCTTTTTAAATCAATGGAAAATATACATAAAGAACTTAAAATGTAAACCTCAAATCCAATGAATGGGATTCTGAATACGTGAAACGAATACGTGAAACAAATACTCTGCATTTCTTCTTTGTATTGAATATGGATGTAGTTTCTGAAGAAATACGACCTTAAAAATAACGCTTTGGGCTTTACGGGATTAATAACGATGTCAGAAAATTGCAGTAGTGAGAAGATATGTTTTACTTGGAAAATTCTACTTCCTGGCACTTCACTTCAGTAACTGTTGTTTTGACATCACTGAGTTTGTATTCTTAGCTTTTATTAGGATCATGTCTCGTGAATGGGCATAATCCTAGCATGTGCCCTCTCAGGAACTTATAAGAAGCTCTAGCTTTAATGACAGTTACAGAAAAAGAAATGCTTTAAATATCGGTGAAGAAGCCGTACTTTCTTCACAAGCACAAGCTCTGAAACACAGGGAGGTTAACATCATCCCTGCTAGATATCTACAGTTAGACAGAAGTAGGGATACAATATAAGACCATGAAAGTTTTAGACCCTAACCAGTTACAGAGTATGAACACTGCTTCTCAAACTGGCAATAATGGGTAGTACGGAAATAATCATAGGTCTGATTCAGGTTTTCCGTTGCTCCTACCTCATTTACTGTTTCATGATTTAAACTGATGTGAACCCTAGGGTTTATGTTACAGATGAAAGACAGCAGAAAAGAGAGATGGATTCTTTACCTCTACTTAATTTCTTCCTCTCCTTTTTTCATCAGCTTTTTCTTTCACAATGATATAATTACTTTTATAAATATAGATTGGACACATACAGGAGATGAAGGATATCCCCTCTGTGTGGACTGTTAATAATGGATTATCAAAAATGTTATTGACTTACCACTTTCAAGTGTTAAGTGATTTCAAGGGTTTTTTTTTTAAAGCAAACAATTTTTATCTAAGATATGAGAAATCAGAAATAAGGCCATGAAAAGATGTGGGTACTTATACTGGGCCAAAGTTTAAATTTAGATGTCCAATCAATACTGCTCTGAACACCAGAGCTATTCTTTTTTTTTTCCTCTTTATTTCTGCTTCACTATTTAGATAATGCATCCGAACTGGATGAACAGAGGAGATGGAGATCAACAAACCTCAGGATGCTTCATACCATTAATGGCTACGGCATTTAGCTTATTACCAAAAGTTGCACAATGCAGTCTCTAATCCTCCAAGGCAGAAGAATGATCTCAATTCACATTCTGGATGAGTG